CAGAGAGTCCAGTGCAGAGCCACGTGATGGAAGAAGATTTATGGGCAGAAAAAGGAAAGTGACTTACAGAAAATGGAAGTGAGGTACAGAAACAGCTGGATCGGTCACGGCTCGGCGTTTGCCTCATTCAAACAGTTGGCCACATTTGATTGGCTGAAACTCAGTGACTGGCACAAGGGTAGGCTTCGGTCTATGTACACCTCCACTTGTAGTCTGGCCAGAAGTTCATCCTCTGTTGTCACTTGTCTTGTTCACGATGTACAGAGAAACCTTTAGGCCAAACTTAAAATATGTAAGGAGGCAGCTCTAGGCTAAACTGAATAATCTCAACATTCCTTCTCTTAGAAAATCTCATACTTCTTCCTAATTAGAACTCAGCAAACTGCTCAGAATCCTCCCGTGAGGTCCTGGGAAAAGCGCCCAGGCTCCAGCAGATTGCGGTAGGGCTGTTGTGATTGACATTTGCGAATACCGGAGAAAGCCAGCCAGCACGCCTTCCAGGCATAAGTCACCTCTCTGCCCATTTCTGGAGCATTCTTGAAAGATTATTTTTCAAAAACTCACCCAAGAGATGGGAATTCACACAAGTCCTTTCCCAGTGGAACTATGATTATTTTCTTCTCCTTTTCTAGTCTCCAAATTTCTATTAAGCACAGTACAAGCCCCTATTCCCTTATCCACAATACCAAAATCCAAATAGCCCCACAAACAAAAGTTGGTTTTGATCCTCCAGAACTCATCTGGAAGCAAAATGACCTGCACAGATGTGAGGCTATTTATAGTCTTTATTGATTCACTTGGTGTGAATATTCCTATTTTGCCGCAGAAATACTAATGTGTTTGATTACAGGGTGCTGCCCCAGACCCCGCTGGGGGTGTTATGTAATTAAGTAGCATATGCACCACATTACCTTTCTCAAATTAAATTAGAAACAAAAGCTTGTATTCCAAAACCAGTCAGCCCCCAGGGCTTTTAGATAAGGAACCTTGGGCCTGTATTACTTTTGTAAAGAAGATAACATTTCATCTTACTTTAAAAACCAGACATCCGTCTGTGCGAGGGTGGTGGGCCCCCAGCAGTACTGGACAGCCCGGCCCTGTTTCTCTGGTCACCTGGTCCTCCCACGCTCTGCTGTGGCTATTTTAAACCCTTCCAATCCTCCACACCCTCTGACCTCCCTTCCGGCACACTCATCCCCAGCAGATGATTTTGCCGCCTGCTTTACAGGAAAAACAGAAGCTGCCAAGAAACTCCCTCAGATGACAAGAGACAGAAACCAACCATAAAACCTGCCGGCAGCTGCCCGATCCTGTCCTCCCTCTGTCCTCTGTCAAATCAGCAGCCCAAGGGTGGGCCTATGGACAGCTCCCCCCACCCTGCCCTCTAGCTTAAGACACTCCATTGAAAACAAAAACAAAAACGAAATCAAGACAACACAAAAAAACACAACCCTTTGTTGATTTCATAGCTTTCTCCTGATACTGCCCTCCTCCTGATCCCAGGCTTGCTTCCCCAAGGATCTGCGTATCTACATTGCCTCCAGTTCCTCTCCTCTGCCTCTCCCTTCTTTACTTCACCTGGCTTCTCGCCAGGGAGCAGCTCTGAGGATGCCCCTGAAGCCCTGTGCGGACTTCCTCAGGGTCTTTCACTGGCAGCACTGACTCTTTCTCCCCCGCCACCCAGTCCTCTCTGGGTTTTCCTCTTGCCTCTGCTACTTCTTCTCTCAGTCCCTCTCAGGAGACTCTCCCTCTTCCCTGCATTCAGTGTTGGAGACGGACGCGGCCCCAGGCTCTTGCCTCTCCCTCTGTAACTGCAGCCACAGCCTCGGCCGCTGCCCCACACCGGCTACTCAGAAAGTCTGTCTCCAGCTTGCTTCTCTCTGACTCCCAGCTCATCTGTCCAGCGGACCACTTGGCATTTCGTTTTAGGTGTCTTAAAGACACATTCAGTCCAGGCTTTCTAGAACTAATGTCTTGGTCCTCCCTGCCCAACACCATCAACCTGTTGTTCCTCTCCCACTGTCCCCGTCGTCGCCACCTGCTCAGCTATGCAGGCCAGAGACATGGCCCTCACCTCAGCCTCGGCCTCTTCCTCGCCAGCATCTCCCATCTCCAGTCCATCCCTAAGGTCTCTCCATTGGCACCGCCCACCCCTTAGCAAAGCCACTGTCCCCTCCAGCCTAGACCCCAGAAGGCGCTTCCTGGAAGGCCTGCTGCATCCACTTGTTTCTTTTGGAAATGCAGATGCTTGTGCCTCTGCTTCTTCAAACCCCATGGTGGCTTCTCAGGTTGGGTGCTTTCTCAGGGTGAAGACAGGATCTGTACAGGCCTTTGATCTAACTTCTGTCCTCTCCCATCCCCACCCGTGCCACCCCCACGTCACCCTCACTGCCCCAGCCACCCTGGCATCTTCCACTCCCTTTTACACACCAGCCTCTGTCCCATCTCAGGACCTCTGCCCATGCTGTTCCTTCTGTCCAATGCTCTTCCCTCCCCTCGTAGGCTCACTTTCATCAGCTTTCAGACGTCAGCTTGAAGACCCCTTCCTCTAGGAAGCCTCCCCAGGCCTTCGCACTTGTTCAAACCCCCTTGTTATGTGCTCTCCGAGCACTGGGTGCCCAGCCTTCACGGCCTTTGTCACATTTGCAATTTAGCATTTGTTTGTGGGACCATTTGACCAATGTGCCTCTCTCCAACTAGAATGTAAACTTCACAGGGATGGAGACCCTGCTTGCCTCTGTTCCTGGGTCTCTGCATTACTTAGCACCAGGCCTGGCCCACAGCAGGTGCTCAGAGACTGATGGATGAGTGGCTGCATGTCATTGCTACAGGGAGGCCTTGACACCTTACACCTAATAAGTACCCAGGGGTGGGCTGGGGAGAGGGTCTCCTCGTGGATGCCAAGGGGCCCTTAGATCCTTAAGGTCTGTGTTCTGGGCTTTCTTGGTGGACTAAAGATGGTTTTCCTTATTCTGTGCTGGATGGGGGACCTTAACCTCCCCTGGAGTACACATACTCTGACCAGACAGTCCTCCTGGGTCTCCATTTGTGCCCAGGCCCTGAAGCTCAAAGGCTTAACTGCCATACCCCACCTCTTTCCCCTCAGCATGGGGTGCCACCCTCAACCTCACTGCCCCACCAGCCCTCTGAGCGTGCCAGCATCGTCTCAGCTGGTGGAGGGTCGCCAGATATTCAGATGTGCCTAGGAAGCTGCTGAGACGGCGGCAGGTGCGCCCTGTGTCCTGGTTGTTGTTTAGGGCTGTCATATTAAAGACAGCTGAAGTCCAGACACACCCTAAAGTCTAGCACCTCGCTGTTCAGATGAGGACTTACCCACAGGTACTCAGAAGGGGCAGCCAGGCCCAGACCCACACAGGGCCTGTCACCACAGGGACGTGAACTCTCTAGCTGGCTCCTTGCCTCCCTCAGTCTGTCTGGAGTGAGGTCACTTAGGTTCACCTCAGCAGCACAGGTCACAGGGGAAAATGCTTTAAAGAGTATAGGTGATAGGCAGCCAGGTGTGGTGGCTCACGTCTGTAATCCCAGCACTTTGGGAGGCCGAGGCAGCGGATCACGAGGTCAGGGGTACAAGACCAGCCTGGCCAAGATAATGAAACCCCATCTCTACTAAAAATACAAAAATTAGCTGGGCGTGGTGGTGGGTTGCTGTAATCGCAGTTACTCAGAAGGCTGAGGCAGAGAACTGCTTGAGCCCGGGAGGCAGAGGTTACAGTGGAGATTGCGCCACTACACTCCAGCCTAGGTGACAGAGTGAGACTCCATCTCAAAAAAAAAAAAAAGAAAAAAGAGTGTAGGTGACAGGCAAACTGAGTCAGAAGCTGGTGCTGGGGTTGAGGATAGAGGCCTGGCCCAGAACATCTATATTTTAGTGATCACTTTGCCCCGACTAACCAGCTCTATTACCTTGAGCAAGTAATTTCATCTTTGGGTTCTCAGTTTACCCTTTAAAAATGTGTATAGTAACCCCTGCTCCCTGCCCCCCACAAAGCACAAAATACCCTGTCCTGCCTAGGCCTGCGTCATTTTGTTAGGATTAAGCGCCCCCATGTACAGGCATTACTTGTTGCTGTACATTTGATCCTCACATTCGCTCTGAGACCAAGGCTGTGGTACTATTCCCTTTTTTCAGAGAAGTAAACTAAGCCTCAAAGCACAGTTACTGCCACCTACCTACGGCTTCATAGCCATTTAAAGACGGGAGTCAGGATTTGGATCTGGATCTGTCTGAGACCCTAAAGCTCTGTGCTGGGTCCAAGGCTTGGTCCCTGTCCCAAGGAACAAACAGTAAAAGAGAAATGAGTTTGAAAGGGGCTTTGGAAGTTGCCCCATGCCATCCAGATGCTGTCGCGGTTCAGGCTCCTGTCAGGTCTGAGGGCAGATGGAGGCTTAGGTGGGGGCCCTTTCCCCAGGAAGCATCCGGGTTCTGTGCTTCAGGTTGGGTAGTGGTGGTGGGGGGCGCTGTGTGGGGGAGAACTAAGTGGTTTGGGTTTTTTCTTCCATGAAGTAGAGGAGTTTGAGATGGAGGAGGCGTCAGGGAGATTCTGGTGTTCTGTTTTCTCATGCTGCTGTGGAGGCTGTTCCCCCCAGGACTCTAGGAGGCACCTGTCACACTGTAGTCTAAGTGAATGGCGCTCTCTAGAGCTGTGCACTATGAGTGTATGTGATGGCCTTGATGATGTTCCTTAGTACGATGGCTGCATGGCAGCCACGGCAGCAGTTAAAACCACTGTGTAAGCACCCAGCTATGTTATCGCACCGAGGCCTCACCATCATCCTCTGGAGTTGGTACTCTTGTTACTGCGTATTGGGGAAACTGAGGCTCGGAAGAGTTAGGGAAGTTGCCCAAGGTCACACAGCTTCTTACGACCATGGCCTGCTGCCTCTGACCTCCGCTGAGGCTGAGAAAGGGGGTATGCCTGTGAATAAAACCATCTTCTCTGTGTCTCTTTTCTTCCTCCTGCCTTGGCCCTCCGCCATAGCTGGACAAGATGCTGGACCCCCAGGTGTGGCGGGAGGCAGCCACCCAGGTCTTCTTTGCCCTGGGCCTGGGCTTTGGTGGTGTCATTGCCTTCTCCAGCTACAACAAGCAGGACAACAACTGCCACTTCGATGCCGCCCTGGTGTCCTTCATCAACTTCTTCACGTCGGTGTTGGCCACCCTCGTGGTGTTTGCTGTGCTGGGCTTCAAGGCCAACATCATGAATGAGAAGTGTGTGGTCGAGTAGGTGGCATCTCTCCTGTCCCTCCTCCCCGTCTACCTTACCCAGGAGTGGGCAGGGGGGTATACATGGGGAGAGGTCCCCTCCACTCAGGCTGAGGAATGGAGATCAGAGGAGCACTCTGTCCCCAGCTCCAGGCCACAAGGACAAGCTCAGAGATGTCTCTGTCGGTGGCCCACGAGGGTCTCACTTGGTGCCTGGGAAGAGCCTCCAGGATCTCACCCATTGCCCACCCCTGCCTTCCTACCTGGCCCTCTCTGTTTTGTGCTGCAGAAATGCTGAGAAAATCCTGGGGTACCTCAACACCAACGTCCTGAGCCGGGACCTCATCCCACCCCACGTCAACTTCTCCCACCTGACCACAAAGGACTACATGGAGATGTACAATGTCATCATGACCGTGAAGGAGGACCAGTTCTCAGCCCTGGGCCTTGACCCCTGCCTTCTGGAGGATGAGCTGGACAAGGTGTGGGGACAGGCTGCCCTTCCCAGGACAGGCAGGAACCCAGAGAGCAGCTGGGGCTGGCTGGAGCTTGCACTCAGGCCTTAGGATGCTGACAGGCAGTGATTAGTTTACTTGGTAAGCAAGGACCTGCTATGTGTCCAGAGGGAGAGAAAGGGAAGGAAGGTATTGGCCAAAGTCCCTGCCCAGAGGTAGGCTTGGGCCTAGACAGAGAGTAAGACAGACACACACCGCTCCGAAATCACAGTAAGCATATGGTATGGTGTTTCCATTTACTGAGTGGGCTTCTCATGCACCAGTCACTGCCATAGGTAATGCACTCAGACGGTGCCTTGACATCGTATGCATCAAAGAGGTGTTGAAGTTAGTGTCTGCCCATTGCTGTGTGTCTCCTTTGACGCTCGTGACAGCTCTGTGAGCTGAGTATTCATATTGTTTTCTACCTTACAGATGAGTAGCCTAGGAGGTGGATGGCTTGATCGCGGTCTCACAACTAGTAAGAGAGGCAGGTTCAAATCCAGGTAGCTGGGTCCAGAGCCCATGCTCAGAACCACCCCTGATGCTTCTGCCCCTCTCCCAGCTATCCCCGTTTCAGTCCCCCTGCCACGATGACACTTAGACTTTAGGGTGGGGCTGGCAGATGCTGACTCCTTCTTAATGCTCAGGCCCAAGTTAGGACGCCTTGCTTCTATTTATACTTGCATAGCTAGACACATTCAAAATGACTGTTCTGTTAGAAGGGGTAACAGGAAAGAGGTACACCTACAGCATCTTGGGAACCAGGCTGGAACCAAGGCTCACATGGGGCGGAGCCGGCTCCTGTCAGCCTGGGCCAACCCTGTCCTTCATGGGACTGGGGGAGGGGTGCTTTTCCCGGGCTCCATGTTAAAAGTCTGAGCTCCATGTTAAAGGTCACCTCCAGGCCAGGCGCAGTAGCTCATGCCTGTAATCCCAGCACTTTGGGAGGCTGAGGCAGGCAGATCACCTTAGGTTGGGAATTCAAGATAAGCCTGACCAACGTGGAGAAAGCCCATCTCTACTAAAAATACAAAATTAGCTGGATGTGGTTGCACATGCCTGTAGTCCCAGCTGCTTGGGAGGCTGAGGCAGGAGAATCACTTGAACGGGCAGGCAGAGGCTGCAGTGAGCCGAGATCGTGCCATTGCACTCCAGCCTGGGCAACAAGGGCGAAACTCCTTCTCAAAAATAAATAAATAAATAAATACAAATACAAATAAAAGTTAGTTCCATTGGACTGGCACTGTCCTAATGCTGAGGGAGCTGCATCCTGCACCCCAGCCCCTTCCCAGGTGATCAAGAGCAAAAGAGCCTAATCTCAGGACCCCTGCCCTAGCAGCATAAAGGACCTCCCCTTTCTACATGCTCTGACACCCTGCCCAGTTCTCATGGGCGTGGCCTGGTTCTCTGAATAAAACTAGGTTTATAGCAGCATTTTCATACAATACAACTCCGATAGCATTCAAATGACAAGAATACACTCAGGGAAAAAATATTCCCTTACAATCACTGAACACTGCAGGGCAATGTATAAGTGACGGGGGGCAGTGTGTGGTCCCCTGACCCACAAGCAGGGGCCTAAGCATTAAAGCAGTGATTCTCTACCTTAGCTACCCATTAGAGCTCCTGGGTTTTAAAAAAACTCTAACACTCAGCTTCACCCCAGACCAATCCAGTCATTGTCCTGGATGAGACCCAGGTGTCGGTGTTTTTAAAGGCTCCAGTGTGCTTCCATTGAGAGCCGAGGTTGGGACCACCGCATCAAGATCTGCAGTTCAGAAGTTCTGAGCTGGGAGCGGCCACAGTGTGGCTGGAGCAATCAGGGAAGACATCTTAGAGGAGGAGGGTCCTGAGCTGGGTGTATTTCTAAACATGAGCATCTTTGTCTGAATCACCTGGGTTCCTGGTACAACCTGCAGATTCAGGTCCCACAGGTGAACTCCCAAGTTGGTGTTTTTGAGCTACCCCTAGGAGATTCCGATGCCTGCTAAAGTTCGAGACCCACTGGCCAAAATCAACAGGATTTAGGTGGGAGCAGGAACGTCTGTGAAAGAGGGAATCGTAATTCCAAAAGCTCGAAGGGTGGAGGGGAGAAAACGGTGGGCTCCCTGGGGAGGGGTGGCCTCATGGGTCCTGCTCTTCCCCCTCCCTCAGTCTGTGCAGGGCACAGGCCTGGCCTTCATAGCCTTCACTGAGGCCATGACGCACTTCCCCGCCTCCCCGTTCTGGTCTGTCATGTTCTTCCTGATGCTCATCAACCTGGGCCTGGGCAGCATGATCGGGACCATGGCGGGCATCACCACGCCCATCATCGACACCTTCAAGGTGCCCAAGGAGATGTTCACAGGTAAGTCCTCCCTGCCCCCCACGCCCAGGCCCTGCAGGCTGCCCTTGTGAACAACAGGCCTTCCAGACCCCACACCCAGAAAGCTCCACCCGCCCACCGGGACACAGCTGGAGCCTGGCTGTGCCACTCGGTGACTCACAAGCCGGGAAGAGAAAGCTACTTGGAAATCTGGACCCAACAGGAGCCGGAAGGCCTAGGCCCCTTTGTTGGTTCACTTGCCCCTCTCCCCAAGGGCCTGCTGAGTCGTCTTGGGCAGGGGCGCTCACTGGCCTTGCACCCTGTTCCATCTTTGTCACTCCTGGTCCCAGGCTGTGTCCACAGTTCCCTTCGGTGTCTGCTGAGTTGATCTGGGCTCCACACAGGAAGACCTCTCAGCTGCATCCCCAGAGGGGTTATCTTTCTGTTCTCCAGTGGGGAAACTAGGGTGGAGAAAAAGACGCAAAACAAGCAGATGAATCATTGAAGTTAAATGCAGCAACCAAGTAGAGCACATGCCACAGGCACTGTGCTAGGGTAGAGGCATGGGATGAAAGTTAGACACCATGCCTTCCTCAGCTGCTCCCCGACTAGTAGAGTGGGGCTCACAACATCAGCATCTGGATCCTTGGTGCAGGACCGGGCCTGCTGGCAGGGGGGCTGCTGGCCTGCTTGGGGGAGGGATGTGATGGGAGGGGCCTGGGTGCCCCCGAGACCCCCCCGAGCCCCACCCACCCTGCACCTTTGCCCCCACACCGGCCTCCCGGCTCTCTGTAGTGGGCTGCTGTGTCTTTGCATTCTTCGTGGGGCTGTTGTTCGTCCAGCGCTCCGGAAACTACTTTGTCACCATGTTCGATGACTACTCTGCCACCCTGCCACTCACTGTCATTGTCATCCTTGAGAACATCGCTGTGGCCTGGATTTATGGAACCAAGAAGTAAGGGGGACGTGGGGGAAAGGCGGGACGGGAGGAGGGGTCTGTCCTATCATGACTTCCTGGAGAGGCAGATCGTAGAGTCACAATGGCAGAGCTGAAAGTGCCCTTAGAGATATTTAGGGAAACTGAGGCATCGGGTAAGGACATGACTGCCTAAGGCCACTTGTCCAGGGAGAGACAGAACCAGGCTGAGGACTGGGTGTCCTGGGTACAGGTCCTGGCATCATTCTTAAATTATCATAGCACCTTTCCTGGGTACCAGCTCTTCAGAATTATTACGTTTGTGAAGGGCTTAGTGGGTCTACAAGAGGCCCTGGCCCTCAGAGAATGCATAGACTTCAGCAGCCTGGTTCACAATGTTAAGGACCTAGATAGGGGTATGAGATGAGGTGTGGTTTCGGCCCCGAGTGTGGGGTCGTGCAGGGTAAGAGGATTCAGCCATAAGAAAGGATTGGGTCTCACAGCCTAAGCCTAGGGCAGTCGTACACTTGCGGCCAGCTCTCGGCCTCATCCCTCATGTTAGGGCACATAGGTGTTCCCAGGAGTTCTAGAACTAGGTCTCTCTGACTCAGTCAGCGTTGGCTGTGGCCACATTGTCCTTGGCAAAACCCACCTCCACTAACCCACCCGGTCTGAGCCTCCCTGATGCCTGGACCTGGTTTGGCAGTGGGGCTCTTTCACAGGGGCCATCTGCTTCCTCGAAGAACACGGGTGGGGCCAGGGAGTGGGGGAAAAGGATACACCTCTGCTTCCTCCCATGGTGGGCCGGGGCTGCAGACACTGCCATAAGGTACTCGGGCTAGTTTTTGTGTCCCGGACTCCTTCAGCAGTCTGGCGATGCCCCTGTCCTCCTCCTCAGGATGTTATTTTAAATGCATAAGATAAAATGTGTAGGATTATATAAGAAACTAATTATATCGAAAAATAGTGAAATACTGTTTAAAATCTGTGATATAGTAATTAATGTATGAGCACTTTAATGCATTGTTATAAGATCTAGCTATAGAGCTAATAACAGTGATAACTCTGAAGTAGTGATGAAAATCAATGATGATCAATATAGATCAATAACATGATGTAATATGCGAATATCTATAATTTAATCTATTGGTGACAGTCACAGGTACTGTTAATACTACTGTGGTTGCTTGCATTCATAATATAATAGAAAGCAATGCAAGATTTCAGATAGGTGTTATTGAGGTAAAGATGATTCTTTTGTATGTCATTCAAGCACAAACCTGGCTGCCTCCCCGTATTCTGCTCACTCGGTTAGAAACCCCCGAGTCAGGGCAGCTCTCTACCTTTGGACACTAGAGAAGTGCAGTTCTACCGCTTTGCCAGCAGGGGAAGTCTTGAGCCAGGCCAGGGTGAAGGGGCTAGGCACTCCCGGAACACACAAGCTGTCGATACAAAAAACAGACGTGCACCTGCCCAGGCTGTGTCTGGTGGGCTCTATCATATCCTTGGATGGGGCGTGATGTGACAGAATCAGAGGCTTAGAGGAGGACAGTAGAGCCTTCCCAGAGGCCAGCCGGACCACACACATGAGCACTGAATGTGAAGAATAGAAGAGCCCAGGAGGGCAGGACTGGGAAGACCTTCTGGAGGAGATGGTGATGGGGGAAGAGGGAGGTGTGACTGAGGGATGCCAACTGCTGGACCCTCTGCGATGCCTGGCAGGTTCATGCAGGAGCTGACGGAGATGCTGGGCTTCCGCCCCTACCGCTTCTATTTCTACATGTGGAAGTTTGTGTCTCCACTCTGCATGGCTGTGCTCACCACGGCCAGCGTCATCCAGCTGGGGGTCACGCCCCCGGGCTACAGCGCCTGGATCAAGGAGGAGGTGAGGGGTGGGGCTCCAAATCCCCGGGACACTTGCATCTTCCCAGGCCTTTAATGCAACCACTGATAGGGATACCCCTTTCTAGGGCAGCTGCTGTGTGCCAGGCCCTGCCAGGGCCTTCACACCTAAACCACAATCTTACAACAACCCAAAGACAGGGGTGGCATCATCCCTGTAGCACAAATGGGGACACCGAGGCTCAGAAAGATTAATGTACTTATCCAGTCTTTCTAACCCATATTCTCTCTCCATGCCTGTGGAATGAAATTAGTCCATTTTATAGATGTAAAAACCACCCTAGACCCTTTCACTAAGGTGACCAGGTAAACCCCTGTCGACCCCCGATCCCTGCCTGTGCCTGGCCAGGATGGTGGGAGGGGAGAGGAAGGGAAGGCCATGGGTGAGGGCAGGAGAGCGGTCTTGGAGGGCCTGGGAGGGGAAGGCTGTCGCAATGCCGGCAGCAGCCCTCAAGGCGGCCCATCCGCAGGCTGCCGAGCGCTACCTGTATTTCCCCAACTGGGCCATGGCGATCCTGATCACCCTCATCGTCGTGGCGGTGCTGCCCATCCCTGTGGTGTTCTTCCTGCGGCACTTCCACCTGCTCTCTGATGGCTCCAACACCCTCTCCGTGTCCTACAAGAAGGGCCGCATGATGAAGGACATCTCCAACCTGGAGGAGAATGATGAGACCCGCTTCATCCTCAGCAAGGTGCCCAGCGAGGCACCTTCCCCCATGCCCACTCACCGTTCCTATCTGGGGCCCGGCAGCACATCGCCCCTGGAGACCAGTGGTAACCCCAATGGACGCTATGGGAGCGGCTACCTCCTGGCCAGCACCCCTGAGTCGGAGCTGTGACCACTGCCCCAGCCCTGCCCACCTCTCTCCCAGTGCTCAACCTGTCCACTTGTCCAGGCCTGGCCTCTTCCTCCAGGTGGCCACGAGGCCCAGGCCAGGCCCTTTGCCCAAGAAGAGAGGGTCTGCCCTGCCTCACTCCCCTCTTCAGTCCCAGTAGACTCTACTCCCTAGCCCTGAGCAGGAAGCTGGGAGCAGCTCGGTTTCCCAATTCAGGACCCCACTCATCTAGCCCTCCAAAAGCCTCCACCAGATTGCAGCCGTGTAATTGAAACAACCCATCAGTCCTGCTTCCCAGTCCATGGGAGACTCTAGGTGGCCACTGCAGAAGGCCCTCACCTCCCTCTCTCTCTGTAACTTGCCACCTGCAGTTCTTAGGGCTCTGGGGTTCCCTGAGCTGCCAGATGGTGGTGGTGAGGGCCTTGGGGCTGGGGAAGGAGAGTGTACTTTGGCTCACTCTGCCATGAGAACAGGACACCATCCTGCCCAGCCCAGAAGGGGATGTTCCCAGCCCAAAAGGCTACCTGCTTGAAGGCGGAGGTGGAAACAGGTGTGCCAGGGCTCAGGGCTCAGAGTGGGGAGGGCATACACAGAAGCCCCAAGCTCTGTTGTCTAAGGTGGGTGCTGTCCTCGGCCCAAACTTGAGCCTTGGTAGCAGAAGGTGAGGAACCTCCTCCGCCCTGGTCCCTGGGTGGAATCTTCCCATGTCCTTGGCCCTGCCTGGGGTGGGTGGTGTGAGCTCCTGTGTCTTGCCTGGGAGTGCAGTGACTGGGACCAGAACCTTCCCCACCTCAATTACGGCTTAGCCATCTCCCTGTCCCCAGCACCCCTCCCCAGCCCACTGCCTCTGGGGTGGTGGCCTCTGCCTCTTTCCTGGAGAGAGAAGGAAACAGTGCAAGGAGAGGTTTCCAGAGCACAAATTGTTGGTTCCCAGCACAAATTAAATGGTTAGGAGCACAATTGTGAAGAACACTCCCTGCCCTCCTCACCTGGGGCCCAATGTTTTGTCTAGTGGCAGCTTTTCCCCTGGAACAGGGGTCCCCGGAGTTCAGGGGCTTATCACCAGGAAGCCTCACTCCTGGGGAAAGACAGATAATTTCACTGCCCCTTTGAGCCACCACTCACTCTCCTTATTGCAAAAGCACAGCCACCCCGTGTGCACATCATGTGCAGACACCTTGGAAACCTCTCCCAACCCTCCCTGGCCCATAGTGGCCAGCACCACAGGCAGTGCTGTGGACAGTAGAGGCTGCCAAAGGCAAGGGCTGGTCTTCAGGATGGAGGCCAGCCCGTGCAGGAGGCTGCAGCTGACAACAGCAACCTCACCCGCCATTATCTTCAGGGCCTCCTCTGGAAGAGAGCCCATTCTCAGAGTGCAGCCAGGGAGGAACCTGACCCAAGAGTAAATGTCTGCAGAGATGGATGGATGGATGGATGGATGGATGGATGGATGATGGATGGATGGATGGATGGATAGATGGATGGATGGATGATGGGTGGATGGATGATGGATGGATGAGGGATGGATGGATGGATGGATGATGGATGGATGGATGATGGATGGATGGATGGATGGTGGATGGATGGATGGATGATGGATGATGGATGGATGGATGGATGATGGATGGATGATGGATGGATGGATGGATGATGGATGGATGGATGGATGGATGATGGATGGATGGATGGATAGATGGATGTTGGGTGGGGGGAGGAAGGAGGAAGGGAGGGAGAAAGGAGGGAATACTGGCTCCATCTTTGAGAGCTCTGGTGGGCAGGGCAGAAACAGGCCACAATGCTCAACCTGGACACCTTCACAAAGGGTCCTGAGTCACTCTTGTGGCTCAGATTGCTCTTAGGACCTGGAGGGACAGACCAGAATCAGGGTTCCCTTCTTACTCCCAAGTTCCTTACTCTCTCCCCAAGCCTGTGAGCAGTCTATCCCCCAAACTACCATCTCCCTTATCCCTCTTCCACATCTTCCCCTTTCCAGCCCCTTCTCCCCTACCTGTTCTTCCTGAGTGTTTGAGGGGAGAGATGAGCTTTTGGGGCACAACATCCCTCTGTAGGCCCTCTCACCTGACAACATCTCCTACCTGGCCCCTTGCAGAATCCCAAGCAGAATTAGCAACAGGAAAGCAAAGCCCCAGGAGAGACACTCTACTATATATACTCTTCTATATATTCTATTTCTATTGTATATTCACTCTGTACATGTGGGTGTAAATGCTGTTAAATGACAAACCCAATATTATACTGTGGCTGGTGAACTATTTTCATCCTCAGTGCTGTACAGATCTATTTTCATTGTATATTTGATATATTTTTAATTTTGTAGCGTGTGGCTGGGCCAGGCCCCAGCGGGAGGGGCTGAGCTGGGGCTGTGTGCTTGCTAGGTGTGGGCTCGCTAGTGCTCGATGTAGCCTTTTGCTGTGTCTTTGCTGTGTGTTAGATGTAGGGCCCAGAGCTTGGGGCGTGTGTGTATGTGTATGTGTATGTGTATGTATGTGTATGTGTGTGTATGGTGTGCACATACGTGGGTGTGGGTGTGTGTAGCGTGTTGATTTGTGACTCCCAGTGTTCACCATCTTCCTGAAGACCACGGTCCCTCCCCCTGCCTCCTCTTCCTCCTCTTGGCTCTATCAGCAGGCAGCCTCAGGGCCAGCAGGGTGCCTTGGGAGCCCCCGGCTATGGGGAAAGGCATGTGTTTCTTGCTGGTGACTCATTGCCTTCACACCACTGGGTTTGCCAGAAACAGGGAAGGAGGGCGTTAGGGGAAAAAAAAATCCTCAAATTTATTTACCAGTCAGCTTCTTGCTGTTCCCAGTAGAATCAAAGCTCTTCTGCAGAGGAAAAGTATTGGGATTTTTAAGATGGCAAGGCCCCAAAAGGGATCTCATTGAACTGCTGCATTTGCCTTGACACAGTCCTGACAGTGTTTGGAAGGGGCCGCCTGCCCCCTCCCCACTGTGCTTCTGACGCCTTTGGAGTCAAGGGCAGGTGTGGTCACCTGATGAGCTAAGACCCAGCCCCAGAATCCTGGAGGAACAGGAGGCAACAGGAGAGGACCACATCCCCAAGTCCCTGCACAGGGTCCCCACTCCACACTGGCTTTGGTGCTGTCCACACAGTGCCCGCCAGAAGGCAGAGGGAACTCCAGGGCAGGGATGTGCCTGAAAGAGTCAACAGTCCCCTGATCCCCTACCCATGCCTGCCCTCCAGCCCCATCACCAGCTTCTTGCTCAGGGAGCCTTCCGCCCTCTGCACTGAGGCAACTTGAAGCCCGAGGCCCAGATGGGGGCTGAACAGGGTGGGTACATCAGTTAATGCCAGTGAGGTCGGCTTCTGCCCTCCAGCAATACATCTGCAGGGCCTGCTGCTTTCCCAGTGCCAGGAGAACCCCCGTTCCGAGTTAGCCTGTGTGGTTCATGAGGCTGGGGCCCAGGAGCCATGGCCCCAGGCACTGCAGTATTACCAGGCAGGGGACTGCTTTTCTGCCCTTCCTCCCTCCACCCCTCACCCCACTCCCCCAGAGTACTCCCCACTGTGAAGAGAGCCAACTGAATCAGTTAGAATGCATCTGGCTCCCTGAGCATCCCTGGGTCCTTCAGATAGGCCCTGAGATGTGAGGTCTGCGGCTTCACTGGGTTCTGATGACTGCGGCTGGGGAGGGGGCCCCCAGGGCCCCTTCTCATTGAAAGCTCTGCTCTGTACAGACCCAAGCACACACCCCGGGCGTCACTTTGGGTTCTGGCGTAAGTTCAGAACACTTCAAGACCATATGTCCCATGGCTGATGAGAACCCTGGGTCCAAACCACTCAGCCCAGAGGAGGGGAGGAGGCATTGTCACCCTAGATCCCTCTTCCTCTCTCCCCTGCCATGGTGTACAATAAAGTGTCTGTTCTTACCAAACCCTTCTTGCCTTTCTCCCTGCTCTTGCAATCAGGGAGAGGGATGGGTGGCCAAGGATCCTGCGGGAAGCTTTGGGGGAAAAGCCTGGACTGGGATGGTTGGACAGGCTGCTGAGGAGGTTGTGGGTGCTGGCTGGCTGAGGAGCAGCGCGGGGAATGTGGGCAGGGTCATATCGGTATTTTCCTAGGAACTGACCTTCGTAGTAACAATGCACACACTTGTAGCGGGCCCTATTGGGGTCCAGTGATTCCTCAGATCTAATTTTCTGTCATTTTTGCAACAGTGTCCTGAGGGAGATCGTTTGCTGTCTAGTTTTTTCCAGGTGAAGCTGCATCTGAAATGACGATGGTATTTAGTGGTCTCTTACGGGGCCCTGCAGGGGAAACTCCTGTCCTGCCTGCCTGCCAGGAAAAGCTACACTTGTCAGCCTGGCAAGGGTCGGGTGTGTGGAAGCCCACCTCAGCGAAGGACAGGCGTGGGAAGGTGCCAGTGTCCAGAGGTCTGAGCATGAGGATGAGGAGGCGGGGGACTCTCAGGTGCTGAGGTGGCGGGGTGAGCTCCCCGGGACAGGCATATTCTAACTTCTGCCCCCCCTTCAAGATAGCTGTCTCTTTTGCACACTTCAGTAGAAGGTAAAGATGAACTAGGGGATCTGACATCACCTCTGTTCTAACATTCCAGTACCAGGTATTCTTTTAATAAACACCCACTGAATACTCAGCACCGTGAAGAACAGAATGTGCTAGTGGCTGGGGAAGCTCTTCTTCCTGCCTAACCCTCCAAGAGCACCGACATTGAAACAGGCAAGAAGTCTGGCTCCTGGAGGAGGCCTCACGCTACCTCACTCAGCTCCAGGCTGGAGTGACCGTGAAGGAGCCTGCCGGTTTCTCTCTCTCCATAGAAAGTGTTGTTCCAGGAATAGCCACCAGATGGCAGGAAAACCTTTCTCACCAGATCCTAGCCTGCTTGCCTCTCTCTCCTCTCTCATTTATTCCTTTGTGGGTTAGTTTATTTGTTGAACAAACATGTATTATGTACCCACTCTGGACAGGCTCCATGCCAGCTGTAGATGAATAAAGATGTGAAAATCAGCTCTGCTGTCCTGAGTGTGGCGGAGGGAGGAGCCCTGCCCGACGACTCCACATCTCCCTACGGATCTTTCAAACAGGGAAATGGCCTGGTGCTGGGAAGGTCACTCCTTGTATTCACTCTTTTGGTTGAAGGTAATGTTTTCGGTTGAGATGCGAGCCTCCTGCCAGGAGGGGCACACAGACCCACCAAGACGCAGCAGCATAACAAGGGCTTTGGTGCGAAGGAGATCTAG